TAACCTTAATTACTTAAATTTTTTTTTACATCTTTGAATTGTAAATGAGGTGGGGGGGTTATATTTCAGATCATCAACTTTGTATTCAACTGTTTAAACTACTTATCAAGTCCCCCAATAGTTAATCCTTACCGGAGCCTCGATTTCTATTGTCAGTCCTATGGCCTACTATCTTCCTTGGCAGCCAAGTTGACACCTGTCAACAGCCTAGCATGTTGCTGGATCTCCCCCGCCCCCCTGCTGTCTCCAAAATCTGTTCCCTTTGGTATGAAAGTCTTTCATCTTGTTTGTGCACCCCCACCCCCCCACCCCCAGCCCGCCCTTGTAACAGTGGTTTCAAATAATATTTGTCCTTTTGTGATTGACTGAGTTCACTCAGCATACTGTTCTCAAGGTCATTCTTGTCGCTGTGGGCTATCAAGTCCATTTCTACTCTTAGCAACCCTTTGTGACGGATTACACTGCCCTCAAAGGGTTGGCTAGGCTGTCTTCTCAATGAGAGGAGCTCTTTCTCCCAGGGAGCTACCAGGTAGACTCAAACTCCGGCTGAGTGCTGAACTGTTTGTGCCACCAGCGATTCATAGCCCATTCTCAGGAAATGTGATACCGATGCCAAGTGTTTTCAGGAATGAATGGCATCAACTCCTCTGCCCACTTCGTGGGTGCCATCAACTTGTGCAGGCCTTAAACTACCCCTGCCTCTGTGAGTCTCTCCTCAAACACTAGATTTCTGGTTATATAAACCCCCAGAAAGAATGGTACAGTATTGCAAACAAGTGTGAGCTACTGATTTGAATTTAAGGACTAATGCAAATCACATGGCAAAGGGTCAGAATTTGAAAATAGTGGGGCAATGGTTCTGTCTTAAACATAGATGTCTCCTTTCCTTTTTTTAAGTTGACTACTCATTTTTTATCAGCCACTCCATAGCTATACGGCCATGTGTGTATATATATGTATATGTGTGTGTATGTATGTGTATATATATATGTTCTTATTGTTAGTTGCTGTTTGAGCTGGTTCCAACGCATAGAGATGCTTTGAACAACAGGATGAAGCACTGCCTGGTTGTGCACCAGCCTCCCAGTCGTTGCTGCGTCTGAACCTGCATTCGCAGTGATCATCCATCTCCTGGAGGATCCTCCTCTTCTTCACCGACCCTCTGCTTCACCAAGCACGGTGTCCTTCTCCAAGGGTGACTGGTGCCACCTGACAGTCTGTCCAAAGTTCACGATGTCCAAAGTTATTGCCATCCTCACTTCGGAGGAGCATGCTGGCTGTGCTTCTTCCAAGACAGATGCGTCTGCTCTTCTGATAGGACCGGGTGTATTTACTGTGCTTCTTCCACAGCGTAGCCCAAAGGCATTGGTTCTTCAGTCTTACTTAGGCATTGCCCTGCATCCACATGCACGTGAGGCTTCTGAACATATCCAAGCCTGGGTCAGGCACATCTTACTGCTCAAGGTGACTTGACTTTGCTCCTTACCATTTTCTTTATTCCCTTTCATTAAGGTATTAAAACCTCTGTTTCAAAACAATGAAGAAGTACATTGCAGGCCAAATGCTGTATGAACATAGATGCAAGATTTTCAGACAAATAATTAGTACATTGAGTCAAGGCGTAGAGAAATAATTTGGTGGCAGGAAAGCAAGATTCGTTTACGACTGTTGTTAGTGCCTTCCGGTCAGTTCCTGCCCAGTCCTGCACCATCTTCACACTTGTTCTGATGTCTGAGCCCATTGTTGGAGCCACTGTGTCCGTCCATCTTTATATGCCCGTCTTCACAATGTCCCTCTCCAGGGACTGGTCTCTCCTGACAACATGTCCAAAGTACATGGACAAAGTCTCGCCATCCTTGCCTCTAAGCATTTTGACTGTACTTCTTCCAAGACAGAGTTTTTGCTCTTTGGCAGCCCATAGTACTTTCAATATTATTTTTCCAACACTATACTTCAAATACATTACTATGAGATATATTGAAAATAGTTAATAAAATCGGCAACATAAAAGACTAAAGAAGATAAAAAGTATAATCATCTCACTGCCATTGATTTGATTCTGACTCATAGTGACCCTGTAAGACAGAGTAGAACTGCCCCCTTGGGTTTGTGAGGCAGTGACTCTATACAAGAGCAGAAAGCCTCATCTTTCTACCATAGGACAGCTGGTTAATTTGAACCATTGACCTTATGGTTAGCAGTCCAGTGCATCATAACTCGCTAGGCCAAAGGGGCTCCATGTTCATCTCAATTGGTGCAAAAAATAGTGGATGAAATTTAACCAAGAGTAGTGATAAAATTCATAGTGAACTAGGACTCGATGGACATTCCCTTCACTTTGGAGGGGCCAGCTGCATAAATGAAGACATTTACACCACGACTTGGCGGTGCTCGTTGTGGCAATCTGAGCATATGCCAGGGAGACTTTCTTGCATTTGTATGTGCACTGGGAGACAAAGTAGGAGATTTTAAAAAGTGGAATTAAAAGATAAAAATTTTAAAACATACACTTTCTCGGCATAATCTCCACCCAGCTCATGACACCTTGGGAAGTGATGATACCTGAGCTGCTCGATTGATCCCTCAAGAACTATGGGTCCCGGGAGTTTAGCCATGTGGATGTACTCTTTTTCCACTTTTTAAGAAGAAAAGTCGGTAAAAAGAAGTTGGGAGGAGCTAAATCAGGACTGTGAAGTAGATGCCTAAGGATTTCACCCAGAAAATCATGCAGACTTGTCCTAGTGTGGTAGCAAAGGACTCTGATTAAGTTTGTATATTTCTGTTAAAGCTTTGGATAACTTTCTCAGAACATTCCAGTCACAAGCTGGTGTCACTGCTCTTGGGTCCTCCAGGAAGCCAACAAGGAAAAAGCCTTGAGCAACCTGAAAAACTGTTGCCGTGACCTTTGCTCTCGATGGGCTTGATGGGTCTCCTTTGACTGAGGTGGGACCACTCGGACCTCTTGGGACCCATTGCTTTGATTCCCTTTTCTTCAGGATTGTCCTCGTAAAGCCATGTTTCCTCTTCCGGTACAATTCCTCCATGAAGTGCCCCTAGTATTTTACAGAGGTCTGCCAGCCGACTTCCCCAAAGCAGGACGTCATCTGATTTCTTGCCTGCTGCTTCCCTTCCCCGGGTATTGATTGTAAATCCTGGACAACTTCCATTGTTCTCCTTTCTATCATTGTGATGCTTATTGGTCCAATTGTGAAGACTCCCCGCCCCCCACTTTATGCCGAGATGTAATCCATACTGAATGAAGCCTATAGTCATTGATCTTCATCTTCAGCCAAAGTCCCTTTGGCTTTCAGCAAGCCAGGTGGTGTCACCTGCAAGTCACACGTTGATGAGTCTTCCACCAATTCCGATGCCACCTTCGTCTTCATTCTCTGCTCAGCATCCAGGTGAGGGTGGAAGGAGACACCCCTCGTGCACAGCTTTCCTGATCTCCCCTTCTTCTCTTTGAGCTCCTGCCTCTTGGGAAATGTACAGGTTTCTCATGAGCACAATTAAACTTTCTGGAGTTTCCCTTCTTCACGACGTTAGCCATAATTTGTTAGGATCCACCCAGTCAAGTGCTTTTGCACGGGGAATAAAACATACATAAATATCTTTCTGGTATTCTCTGCTTTTAGCCAAGATCCAACTAACATCAACAGTGATAATCCTTGGGCCATGTCCTCTTCTGAATCCGGCCTGAATTTCTGGTAGTTCTTGTCTATATGTTGCTTCAGCTATTTTCAAATTATCTTCAGCAAACTTTTACCTGAATCTAATATTACTGATATGTTTAATGGTTTCCACATTACACATTGGATCATCTTTCTTTGGAATGGGCACAATTATGGATTTTTTCCAGTCGACTGGCCAGGTAGCTGCCATCCAAATTTTTTAGCATAGAGGATTAAGTGCTTCTAGTGGTTCATCAGTTTAGTAAAACATTCAATTGGTCTACCCATCAATACCTGGAACCTTGTTTTTCCGTTATTGCCTTCATTGCAGTTTGTACTTCTGACTTTAATACCATCAGCCCTTGGTCATATGGTACCTCCTAAAATGGTTGGATACTGACCAGTTCCTTTGGATACAGTGCCTCTGGGTATTCCGTCTCCTTTGCATGTTTCCTGCATCATTCGATAGTTTGCCCATAGAATTCTTCATGATTGCAACTTGAGGCTTGAATTTTTTTCTTTTCTTTAGCTTTTCTAGCTTGAGAAATTTTAAGCTTTTCTTCCCTTTTAGTTTTCTAACTCCAGGACGTGTGTGTGTGTGTGTGTGTGTGTGTGTGTGTGTGTGTGTGTGTGTAATATAACACACACATATACTTATGCTTATTTTTATATATAATCACAATATATATGTTTTTGCTTCTATAGACATATACACAATACATTTACATAGAAAATAGACTTATATGGCATATAACAAAACACATTATAATTGACTTCTTTTCTTTATTCCCCAAGAGAATATTTAATGTCTGAATTTTGGATGGCATGGCAAACTATTGCCCTTGTGTAGAAAAAAATGGAAACTGGACATATCAGCTATGGCATTTGATACAGTAGGAATGCATTACTAAGCTCAGTAACAATTTTGACCCAAACTAAGCAGCTGTGGGGACAATCAGTGGGCACCTCTCCTAAAAAACACCATCAGGGACACCTTTGTATCAGAAGTAGCCTTAACCAAGGGTATCTTTTGATCAGGGCTGTTTGATGAGCCCTGGATCTTAGACATGCCACAATAGCAGTTGAGACTCAGCCAATGAATGTTACTTGTATGCGATATGGCATAACTCTCCAAGGGAGGGAAACAGGGGAGGGTGAGGTAAGAGAGAAACCAGAGCCCAACAAGAAATAGCTCTTTGTCCCAGTCTACCCCCGCTCCCCCTCCAACAACCTGATACCACAGGTTGAGTGAGCAAGGAGCCATCAGGAGAGGGCATCCTACCCAGAGGCCTGGCTGATGATGACCAGATTTGACCTGTTTCTCGGCAGTGTGTGGCTGTGACCTGGCACAAGGTGGCTTCTTCATCAAGAACGGGGACTACCTGTGTACCCTGGACTACCAGCGGACGTACGGGACACGCTGCCATGGCTGTGGGGAGTTTGTGGAAGGAGAGGTGGTGACTGCCCTGGGCAAGACGTACCACCCCACCTGCTTTGCCTGTACCATCTGCAAGTAAGTGATTATCTTCCCAGCCCCCACCGTTTCCTCCAGCAGAGGAATCCTGGGTTTGGTTGCAATAGCTTAGGAGGTTGTCGTGTTATTGATAGGTGCCATCCAGTCAGTTCTGACTCACGTTATGCACAGCCAAACAAGACGCTGCCTGGCCCTGAACATCCTTTCCACAGTTGCTACGTTTGAGCCCATTGCTGCAGCCACACGGCCGACCCGCTCGTTGAGAGTCTCACTCATTCCCACTGACGCTCCACTGCGCCAAGCAGAATACTCCCCTCCTCTTAGATCTTAAATGGCACTTAGTCTCAAAGCATCCTTGTGCCCTTAGATGTCTTTATCATCCTATTGTATTACCAGTCTTAGTAAAGAAATTCATTTAGCTGGGAGACGTTGTATATGGTGTCACTCTGAAGTAATATCGCTGATTTGAAGGGATTTGAAGTCTGAGTCTTAAAACATTTGGAGCAATGAGAGCCTCAGGGGGAAATGGTGTAATTCCCTCAAAAGGTGAAGCCTATTTGGAAGACTTAGAGCAAGAGAGAATGTTTGTGTTTAAAATGGTCTCATTTACTCTCAGTTGGCAAAGTCTGGCCCATGAACGAAATTAGATGCAACACCTGTTTTGAAATGTAAAGTTTTATTGAGGTATAGCCGCACCCTCTTACATACATATTGCCTATGGCTGCTTTCAAGCTTCAATGGTAGAGTTAAACCATGGGGACAGAGACCCTCTGGCCTGCAAGGCCTAAAAAAAATGATGTACAGCCTGACTTTTGCAGAAGTTTGTTGAGCTCTGTTCTGTAGCCATCGATAGTCAATTGGGATTAAATCTAACGTCACAAGCTAGCTTGCTTAAACCAGTCTCACAGAGAAAGGTGATGTGGAGTGGGAAGCTGGGTTGCTGTTCAAGTTGAGGGCCGCCCGTTAAGGAATTGAAGATGGCTTGATTCCTATAATATAAGAGGGTGGGTAGAGGGGGGCTTCCCAGCAAGCTCCAGCCCTTTGGGGGTCAGTTTAATCCCTCAAGCCCACGCCTTCGGGAATAGCGTAGACGGTGGGTGATGCCTTTCTAAAAAAGAGCAAGAGAGGGGCTTTGTATTGGTTTCCAGCATCATCTCTTGTTTCTCAGCCAGAGAGAAGTCATTTTATATACTTAATTAAACAAGATAATCGTGATAGCTAAATCATAATAAAACTTAAAGGAAATAGTCACAATTAAATTATTTTAATAGCTTTGCACAACTATTAGCCCATTTCTCAATTAATTACACTCTTTAAAAATAATAATTTGCTGTGTGGAAGGAATTCTGGATTAATGGGCTAAAACTTGGGGGGTTGGGGCGGGGGCTGGTGGTATTCAATCAGTGCTTCCTCCTGACATCTCCATGGTCAGCCTTTCGTGCACAGCATTCTCCAGAGCCCTGGATTGGCATGCCGGGGGCTTGCATTCTTGTTCTACTTCCTAACTCCATGAATCATAACTTTCCCCAAACTATGGCCTCATCTGAAACACGAGGCTGTGCACTAGATGAGAATGGCTGCCCAGACCTGGCTGACCACTGTGGAGTCTCTCTAAACTCCCTTTGCCAGTCTTCCCTTGTGAACCGATAGCCTCATGCTGATCTAGTGACTCAGGGAGACAGCATGCAAAGCCTTGTGTCCCTCAGCCAGTTTGGGAACACCTGGTCTCTTTTCAGAGCGCCCTGGGTTAGGCGCTGAGCTGCTAACCACGAGGTCTCTGGTCCTACAGCTTTTATGTTCCCGAGAGATCTTTGTTTCAAAGTTGGTGGTCGTAGATAAGCATTATTTAGCTACATTCTTGTCTCTGGACCTCTAGGCAGCCGAATCACTCCTACAGATATGTGTGTATGAGTACGTAGAGACACCCACACATGCTGCTGCTCTCAGTTGCCCATGAGTAGGTTCCAACTCTTAGTCACCCTGTATACAGGAGCATGTAACCCTGCCTGGCCCTGCACCAGTCTCACACTTGTTATGTTTGAGCCCATTGTTTCAGCCCCTCCTTGATGGACTTTGTCTTTATAATACAATATGTGTCCTTTTGTGACTGGCTGGGATACAAGAATTTCAACGAGTCCCTGATTACTGGTACCTAGTCCATTTTTGTAGAGTTGTTTCAAATCCACTGTGTGTGTGTGTGTGTGTGTGTGTGTGTGTGTGTGTTAGGCAATAGAGGGGCGCCTTGAAGAGAGACAGCAACTGTGAAACTAAAAAGTGATGTCCAGAACCTTGAACTAGCCCTTCAGTATGGCTTCTGTCTTCCCACTGTGAAAAATCAGGTTGAAAAGGATTATTGGCCAGTTGGCAAGATGGCCAATGGCAAATAGCCGGCATGTGAATTGTCATGTTTATGAAATTTGTTGCTTGTTCAAATGGGCTGTCTGTCTGCAGAACTCGGAGAAGATATGCACAGCAAACATGCAGACACATTTTTGCAAAACGGGCCATTATAAAATATCTAATACGCACGGAAATTGTTTTCCTGAGAAGAAGCAAATGCTCATCCTTATTCACAGCATGTTGTATTTTTACAAGCTTTTAAGAGCCTGGGTCTCAGACCCTCAGAAACATTCAGATGTTTGGGGGCCAAGCCTGATTTCACATAGCTGTGACCTAAGTGTAGGCGAGGCTCCAGGGCAGGAGAGGAAAGAGTTCACGCTTGACTAGGAGCCAATCCTCCCAGGGAGGGACCTTAAGCTCGAGTAGGAATTCGTGGCATTTAAAGTAGTTCTTGGTGAAGGAGTTTTGATTGGAAATTTACTGCTGTGCGTGCCTTGTTTGGGGACTTGTTAGAACATCCCTCGTCCTCCAAGCAACGAGCGACGTAAACCATCCCGTTCTACTATCTGGTTGTCTGGGAACCAACGCCCACTTCTTTCTACCCTGAAGGTTTGATTGGTTGGGATTACACCCTACTGGCTGTCTTGGTTAAGCCTGCCATCTCAGTCGTTTTGGCTGGCGACCGACCGCCTTTGTACCGGAGGCAACAAACAGGAGGAGTGAGAATAAGAGATGGAGTCGCTGGGATAACCTGGAGGGCTGTGTTCTTTCTCTCTCCAGACGCCCGTTTCCACCTGGAGACCGAGTCACGTTCAATGGGAGAGACTGCCTTTGTCAACTGTGTGCCCAGCCGATGTCCTCCAGCCCCAAGGAAGCCGCCTGCCCCAGCAGTAAGTGCCCGACAACCTTCTGATGTGAATTCCTTCGTAGCCCAGAGGTACCCTAGGCAGGGACCTGTAGCTGGCTAGTATTTTGGGAACATTCTGTTAGCTTCAGCCAAAGCTACTTCTGTCGAGGGTGTTTTTCAAGGTAAAGAGTGATCCTTGCCAGAGCCTTTCACGAAAGTCCATGCAATTAAAAGCATCTCTCTTACTCCCCCAAGGCATAAGAGGTGGGCATTTTGATAGTGAACGAAGGGCAGAGAATTCTACAACTTTACCTTAGAATGCCCACAGAGGTTGGCACATGACCACACCAGATGTGCTTTACAGCTACTTCCACTGTCCCTAATGGGGCCAATGTAATGGCTTGCCCCAGCTCCCCATGGCGACCCGGTGTGGTTCATGGTCAGGCTGTACCCCATTGGTCTTTCAGTGACGTGTTTTATGGAACTTTCTTCCAAAGGACCTCTGTGGACTTGAACCGCCATCCTTCCAGGTGTCAGTTGAGAGCATGAACCATGTGCAAAGCCCAGGGACTCTCTAGTGATTCATAAAACTCAAAAGCTCTCTGCCACCGAGTCAATTCCGACTCATAGCAGCCATCTCCCGAATAGGGTAGAATTAATTGCCCCTGTGTGTTTCTGAGACTGCACCTCTTTAGGGAGTAGAAAGCCTCCTCTTTCTCCCATTGAGCAGCTGGCCTTGTGGTCAAGCACCCAACATAGAACCACTCTGCCATCAGGGCTCCTCTCTTGATTTGCACTGAAATCGTCCCTTATCTGCCTGGCGGGTTTCTACCATTCACTCACTTAGCAGGGACTGTCCATCCCATGAGAGAGCTTGCCAAAATCCTCAACTCTGCATCCTCTGGGAGCTTGCTTTCTTTCCCACGGGAACAGGTCACCGAGAATGGAGGTATCTCCTAGGCCGCGTGGTAATTAAGTCTTAGGGGGAAAAAGTGCAGTTAGGTCTTTAGGGCAGCCAGGCATGAAAAACAAATGGGGATATAAAACACACAGGCCTGGTGGGCTTTGTAATTCTGTTTGAAAATGTTTCATCTGATCGATGGCGATCCAAACAGAGCCAGCTGGCCCCAGATTTAAAATAACGGCCCATGAAACTATTCCTTCTCGTGAATGACCTTGGCCGGGCAGGTGTCGTTCAGTTGACAACCTTAAAGTCATTGTGTTCTTGTGCTGAACATTAAGTGCCACGTCTATCTCACCTTCTTCCGTGGCTGGCCACTGGGACGCTGGGCAGGGGTTGGCCTGGGGTGCTGTGCACGCCAGCCATCCTGTATGTCCTGCAAGTCTCGGGGCCTCAGGATGAGATGGGGTGCTTTTTCTCTGGGGTGTTTTCTATCGTTTATAACAAGGACTCCAGACCTTCCCATGAAATCGAAGAGCCTTCTGATGCTGGTTCCCAGAGGGAAATACTCCAGCCCAAGAATTTGCATAGAAATTGCATTTTGGCCACTGGGAGGGAAGGAGAGAATGGAGGAAGCAAAAGAGAAAGCCAGCACACGTGACTGGATCCTTAGTACATGAATGTGTACCGAGTACTGATAAACAGCAGGAGCCGGAGTAGGACCACAGCTCCAGGGCCAGGCCCAATCCGAGCCCCCCAGGGGGCTTCCAAGCCGAAAGAGTCACTGTGCTGTCTGCATTTGGCTGCTTCACCACATTCTCCTCGTTGTACAGGGTAAGAAACAGAAGTGGAATATTTTTAAAGCCCTCGCCTCCCCTCAGTCTAATGCACTCCCGGAATAGGTTTTCCAGGCCCTGCTCTCCCCAAGTAGTTATTTACGTTTCTATTTAAGTGCTTTCTTTTGCTTTGTCTGTATTTCCCTTCCCCTCTTCCCCAGGCCAAAAGCCTCAAGCTGTTTATTCATTGTTAACCTCTCAATGCAGAACACAAAAACCAAGGAAGAAACCAGACGTTTGTAAATACAAGTTCAATTGATGAGAGAAGGGCAAAGTCTTGCATGACAGCCTTCTAGTGACCCTAGGTACATGCGTGCATGCCGTCACACGGGCGACTCCATACCGAGCCAGCTGGGCTCTTGGCCAGTGTCCCCTCTTGGAGCTGTACCCGATCTTATGACCAGTTTGCAGTTGGGGCATGGCCCAGTTCTGCTTTTGTTTCTTGATCTGCCAGGACTCTCTGGATCCTGCAAGTCTTCTGAGGAGGCACTGTGATGACGGAAGGCCGCCACCCTCAGGGCGGCGGAGGCAGGAGACAGAAGCTGTGTTTTCTTGGCTTCCATGGCCTATGTGTTCGGCACACAACACCAGAATGGCAAAAATGCAATTGTGAAACTGCACTTGAGCGCCCTTGGGCTGCCTCTTTGAGACTAGATTGATTATGGCTCGCTGCCAATGGTAGTTGGGCCCAGCAGTATTGTCTCCTTTGCTCTGGATGGATGGGGTTCCATTTCTGTGTGGTCAGAACATTGTTCTTTTGAAAATGCCCTCTTCTATTTAGCTAAGCGCTCCGATGGCCTTTATGGACACATGGACAGAGTCGTCTGTGGAAAAGCCAGCTCTGCTCCCTGGATGCGCATAGGCAGAGTCCCCAAACGAAGAAGGCACACAAGTACCTGAGCCCTGGGAATTTCAGCAAGCTTCTGAAATCCGTGAGAACACAAGTAGAAAATGCCCGGCTGTTCTTTTGTAATGGGTTAAGGATGTCCTATGCGCTAAAACCATCCTGGTATGAAGTTAGTCCCTGTTTAAAATAATAATTATAAAACAGACTATGAACTTGGGAGAGCTCCCTAGAAAGACTTCTTTCTTTTCTTTTTTTTTTTCCTTCCCCTGTGACCCATTTCCACCCTCCCTGGACAGTAGTCAGAGTCAATGAAATGCATCAGACATCCAGGTCCTCTCTCTCCTTTCTTTGAGACGTCTGTACTGCTTGAACATGGGCTGGTGCTTCTGAACCACCATTAGGTAGCACGTTGGCTGGCTGCATTCCCATGGTCACTGAACTGGGGGCGCGGGGGGCTGGAGAGGGGAGACAGAGATGAGAGGGACTGCATCGAGAACTCCCACAAAATGGGCTCTGGGTTTACTGAACAACGCCACTGTCTTTCTGTCCTGGCAGCTCCGAGGCTGTGCCATGATATTGCATTGGGCTCAATGCTTGCTTCTCGCTGACAGCAGTTCCTCTAACCTTTATAACGATTCCATTGTCTTCTTCAATCCTTACCTGGTATTTACTGTTTTGGAAATACCACCTCAGTTGAATCCTCATACCAGCCCTAGAAGTCCATACTGAGCATGCTAAGGATCCTCCCAAACCACACATAGGTCCAGTCATTACCTTGAGAAGCTTGTGGAACTTAGAAAAGCTGGTATGCACAAACTTACTGCTTATCACAGCAAAAGAAAGGATGGAGATTAATGGCCATCGGCCAAGGAAAACAGGGCAGGGGGCAAAGTCTGGGAGACCAGGCACAGGCTTCCAGCTGTCCCTTCCTGGGAAGTGCACAGCAGGGCTTCATCCTCCCACCAGTGATGTGTGACAGTGCAGGGAAACTCACCTGAGCTTCGGTGTCCCAGTTTCTTAATAGGGTTCAGTCACATAGGCCAGATGCCTGATTGATACAATCTGGCCTGATGTCCCAATCGTAAATCACATCATTCACATAAACTAGCTAGAATAGTGGACCAAGACCCCAAATCAACAAAGCCCTCTGATCAGACAGGCTTAGAAGGTGCCTCCCAGGGGCTGGACCAGGATCAGACCTTTCCTCGGACTGTTTAGGCTTGAACATCCGCTAACCAGCCTTTCCCAACACGCGAGTGTTCACCTCTTTTTTCACAGGTGGAGAAAGGTTAAGTCATTTGTCCAAGGACCACAGAAGGTAAACGGCAGAGCAGGAATTGAAAGTCAGTCTGGTGTGCACAAGATTCCGTACTGCTGTTCCTCGTGGGTCCTTTACAACACAGCAGTCACGCTTACTTTCAAAGGCAGGGGCGCTCAGCCTGGAAGCAGTGACCAGACGGCTGCAGATGTATCAGAATGATTTGATTCCAAGCACAGTGCTCTTTCTGCGTGCCAGAACTACCTCTTATCACCCCAAGGTTGGGCAGAGGGGCACTCTCAGGAAATGTCTCTTAGAAACAAACAAGGCCAATAACACTGGGATGCCCCTGAATCAGAGAACACAGCCGTTGCATCCACTCTGATGGGATTTCGATTCAGTAAGCAGCAAGCATTCCATAAAATGGAGATAATAATCAAACTTAGCCGACTCGGTTGTGGTGACCATTAATGAAACTGCTTTTCCCATTAATAAAATGGTGACAAAGTCAACGATTGCTCAGGCCTGGCCTATCCATACCTGCAAAACATGTTTTCGCAGCCAGAAGACATCGTGCTCTACCAGAAGGCTCCACAGAATCCTCTGAAATGCACTTTGATTCCAACATCTCTGTCTTTGCTCATCATTTGAGGGTTTGGGCTGCCAGGGGTTAAGGAGAAGGTGAGGGGATGGCATCTGTGTGAGGAGACCTAGAAGCTAGAAGCAGTGGGAATGGAGCACGGATCGTCTTTTCCTGCACAGCCCCATCTATTTTAGGCACCCGAGCTAGAGGCGGCTGCTGTCTACAGTCACCCTTTCCATTTCAAAGGTGTCTGACTCGTGTCTGACTGCACGTGGGCTGGTTTGATTGATGTACCGAGTGCCCCCACACAAATCCATCCCAACTCCTCCACCTCTTGGGAAAACATCATCATTATTCCAACTGCAACTGGAACTCCCACAGGGATCGGGGGCAAATGCTCTGCTCCAGACCAAACTGAAGTCATCTCAGATAAAAAAAACGAGCGGCTAAAAGGAAGGAACTTTCCAGTTCGTTTCCCTTTCTGTGTGGGCACAGTCGCCTTTAAGAGCTGCAAGACCATTTTCTTTTCTTTCTTTTTTAACCATCTTCCTGGGGGCTCTTACAGCCCTCATCACAATCTGTACACACAGCCCTTGTGTCCAGCACATTTGCACATAT